AACTTTGAATAGGATAGACACCAGGGATACTCCTCTAACACTCACCCTCACCCAATTCTCAACAATTCAGACTTAGATCAAATCATAGCACTGGCTTTTTTGGTGTTCCAGCTGGCAAATGGCAGATCTTAAGACTTTTGGTCTTCTATACTTATATAGGAAAATCCTTATAAAACTCCATTCATAGTTATTATTTTCTTTTTCTCCAATCAGTTTATTTTTTTAAAACATTTACTATACAATCACTGAGATACTGAATATCCTCAATAGATTTTACCATCTAAGAAAAAGAAATATTCTAAGCTATGAAAACAGTATAATCCTCTTAATTCTGAAGAGGACATTTGGGCATAAAAATTCCTCGAAAACTAAATAACAGTTATTTATGTTTAAAATTTCCATTGAACTGGTGGCCAGTAAAACTGTCCTGTCTCAGAAAGAGGGAAAGGTAGTCAGCAGAAGTCTTCAAGTGCCTTCTAATGCTCATATCAGACAGCCTCCACAAGGTGTTTGTGCATACAGTATGAAGCACAGAGAGGCATCTCAGACCTTTGGGGCATTCTTCAGACCATGGATCCAAATTCTCTTCTCATGGTTTTAAAAGTATCATTTCTTATAGTAGAGAAAACAATCAATGTCAGGGAAATAAGGAAAACAAAATCCCTGTATGTTTAGAAGACAGAAAGTAGGCCCCCAAGTACAAAGAAGATAGGAAGTGAGGGAGTGGGAGGGGCGAGGGTGCTGCTCTTAGATAAGTTGTGTGGGTGCCAGCACCTCACCACGGTGTTTTATAAGAGTCAGTTCCTTTATGTTTGCCTGAGTTTGACATGAAACTGCATCCAGCAGATGGAAAGCTTGCTCTGGGGCTAAGATCTTCGCTGAGAGCTTGGCAACAGCAGCACTAGCAGCTGTCACAGAGAAAAACTGATGAACAATACTTATACACAAGAACAAATGTTCCTCTTTCCTAAAATTCGCAGATGCTGGCCAACCAGTGCCAACACTGAGCTCTTCTTGGTGCCCAGAACTGCGTCTTCTAAGTTTTAAAAATCCATGGTTTGTAAATGATTGCCAGAGCTCTGATGCCAGCATCACTCACTTAACTCTGGAGAATACCATTGGCTTCTCTGATGGTGGCAGACCACCTCCCTTCCAGATAATACCATGCTCCTCAAACCTTGATGTAAATCTTGAGACACTGAGGTTCTCAACACACATCAGCAGATTGTCTTTTCCCACCACATAATGGATTTATCCTTAATTCTCTCTTGAGAAACCGGAGACAGAAGTAGAAAGACTATTTCTGTTCACATGTTCCCTTCAAAATATCACCATCAAAAGTGAGAGTCCCACCAAATTATATGCAATTTTTTCTGTTGTTCCTACAACATCTACACACGAGATCAACTGAATTTTTCCTATGATAACATTTGTTGAATTATCCAAATTTGAATTCCTCACATTATATAGCATAAAGGTTGATCAGGATTGTTCAAGCTCTGAAATCAAAGGATTTATTAAACCTGTGCTCAAAAAATAAACCTTTGGTCTAGACCTTCACAAACCTCAACTCATCCTTATATTTCTACTGCTTAACCCTATAATCAATGGCTCAGAATTCATCAACCCTGGTCCAACTTTTCAAAGCTTTTAAACTAGGAAGACAAAAACCACATTTGCCATTAGATCAAACCATGAAAATTAAGATCAGCTTCCACAAGTCTCTGTGAATTATAATGAGCTTAGCCAACTTTCTGTGTTTGATGAAAATTCCACTCTGTAAATATTTCTTTTCCAACTTTATATAATGACTTATGAGATTCTTCTTCTTCTGTTTAAGAAGAAAAAGTGTGCTCCTTATCAACAGAAATCTATCATTTTTTTTTTGTTCTACTGGAGTAATTTCTTATAACCTCTAAAGGTTATAAGCCAAAAGGTCATTAAACCTTTATGATGTGAACTTTGATTAAGTTCATATAATTTTTGCTGCCACTTTGGATGTGTAACAGTGAGTTCCCTTCCTTGTGCGTGTGTGTGTGTGTGTGCGCGCGCGCGCACGCATGTGTGTGTTTTCAAGAAATATGAGTTCCCTGCCTTTTCAGACATTGTTAGATTAAATCATATCTATAAATCTTCTAAGTCTATAAGAATTAAAGCTTGATGTTATTTTCTCCAAACCAACATTTAAACCTAAAGAGATGAGGAGTCTAATAATATTTTCAATCCCATGGAAAGTGCACCTGCAAAAAACAACTAGCCATACAAACACATTTAAGGCTACTGTTCACTATAAGTGGCTGAGTTGGGACCACTGCCTTGTGGTGATATTTTATTTGTGCTGATATGTGATTTAATTTGTATGTTAATAAATCAAGTTGCTTGGTGATCAGAGCTAAAAGCAAGCCATTTAGCAGAAGTCTGGCGGTGATGGCACACACCCTTAATCCGATCACATGGAAGGCAGAGTCTCTGTGTGTTCAAGGACACAGCCAAGCGATGACCCAAACCTTTAATCTCAGTACCAACCATAGAGATCTGGAGGTCTGTATAGACAGGCAGTGATGAGGAAATCATGTGGTTTGGTTTAGAGCCAATGAGAAGGTAGAACAGAAAGGCAATAAAAAGACAGGTCGCACAGAAGAAGGTCTCTCTCTCTCAGGGGAAGGATGGCAGTGAGTGGTAAGCTAAAGGCTATTCTCTAGTGCTCTGATCTCTTGGGCTTTTAACTCTGTATCTGGCTCTGTGTTTCTTATTTAATAAGACAGTTTAGAATTCCGTCTACACTGCCTAGGTGTCCTCACTCCTCCAGGGCTATTTACTTTTTTCACAGTGAATATAGAAAGCATGAAGTACTGGGACCTCAAGGATTACATTTCAGAGCATCTCCTCTAGCACAATTACAAAGGTATTTAGTTTTCACTTATCCAAGTGAACCCACTGTTCACTATGCCTCAGGTATGGCAGGCAGGGGGGAAATTAGCCTAGAGCTGAATAAAATACAGTAAAGTGGATTAAATGACAGATACCCCATGTCCTGGGCAACTCCATCTTCACCATTGCACCAAATACATGGTGGCTCAGCTCCAGGAGCAAAATTGTTCATTATGTGAAAGGGTAGCCAGGCCGCTCAAGAGGAAAAAACCACTACTAATGGTAAGCCCATTTTCAGGTTTAATGTGGCTTTTATTTGTCGGTAAGGGCAGCATGAATAAAACCCCAATTCTATGATGTTAATTTGCTTACTTCAAAATAGCTGTGTCACTAGAGACTTTGGAAAATTGGTTACAGCCTTCTTTTGCCTTCAGTGAGAACCCCACACATTGAGACCTAACCCATACAAAGAAAACCCCACTGTTCTAGATTTCTTTCTGACAAAAAAAAAAAAAAAGACTTGAGGAAGAATGGATTTATTTGGCTTACATTTCCAGGTCACAGTTTATCTTTGAAGGAAGTCAAGGCAAGAACCATGGAGGAATAATGCCTGCTGATTTACCTTTTGGCTCACTCACTGGCTCATGCTTTGATAACTTTCTTGTAGAGCTCAGGCTCACCCTGCTCAGGGATGACACTGTCCAGGCTAGAACTGGCTTTCCCACATCAATTAACAATCGAGATGCTCTCTCACAGACACAGACACAGGCAAATATAATCTGGACAAACCCTTAACTGGGGTTCCTTCTTCCTAGGTGACTCTAGCTTGTTTCAAGTTGACAATAAATCTAGTCAGCACATTTAGTATCTCCTCCAATTAATGGAAACCCAACATATCTACAAACACAAGTAATATGTAAGTTATGATTCCTCTCAAGAAGACTTTCAGATGACTCTGTGGAATGATGGATTGCATAAAAGGCATGCCAGTGTCTCACCTGTTTTCCCTTGAATTTTAATGGCTCAAATTTCTCTTATGTTTGCCTACATGAATTTTCATTTTTTTCAATTACATTTTTACTTGCCATTTTTCTAGCCTTGCACTCTGTGTTGCTGTGAAAGTTACTTAAAGGCAAAACCCATGTAGTTTTATATAGTATCTACATAATATAGATAGTAGAGAACACTTAAGATTAGTATAACATTTATGGGGCATATACATGCAGCTGAACACATGTGCAGTGCAACTTAATCTAACGCTTTAGAAGAAGTGGACTTCTTCAATGTTGTCACCAAGTGAAGAAAATCTGTAAGAGAAAAGCCTTAAGATAATACTGACCTCTGAACATCTTTCTCACCTTTAAAAAGTCATCCCCTGGTATTTTTAAACCTTAGGGAAGTAGCTTCTTTTTGAGGGTCTGGGCAAAGCAATAGGTCTTGAAGTAAGAAAATTATCATGTATCTACACTCCCAAAATAGCCTCAAATACCATGAAAACTGGTGCATCCCAAATCCTTCAGCATTTATTACAGTGCAGATGCTGAAAGTTGAGTAAGTTGTACTAAAAGTTTTCTTTCTTGGTGCTATGGAACTTTAGCATGTGGGGTTCACCATGGTACCCTTAGGTTACATAGTTCTTGAAGGATCTGTGGTATTCTGGACCAGCCTGAGTCCTACATTTTTGCCTTAGTTGATAAGGAGTAGCAGAATTTGGCCTATGCTCCCACTGTGATGTGCTGACTCTCTAGAGGCCCAAAGTGAAGATCATTCACCCATGAACTAGAACCTTCAGTTCTATGAAGTAAAACACGTACTGTCAAATCTTAAGTGCATTAGTTCACTGATTTGGTGGAAGGTGACCAAGATGGCATCCAAGCTACATACTGTCTCTCTATACTATCTCACTTGGTAGCTCAACATTCTTTTGTATGCTTTCTCATATATTTGCATAGTTACAACAAGCAACCTGAGATGTTCTCAGTGGCACTGAGTTCAGGCTACTGCATAGAACAGAAAACAAGAAAAAAGAAAAGGAAATGATCACTGAGGTGATAGTCACAGATGGGTAACCAGTGGTCTTTCCCCTGGTAGCTGTGAACCACTGTGTGAAGCAAGGTAAGTGTGCTCACCTTTTGGTCTTGACTGTATGCCAGGATCCAGTCTTCTTGCTTTGGATGGAAAAGCAAACTCTGGATGTAAAAGTTGAGCCGGTACTTTTGGTAGGTTGCCCCTTCATCTGAGCTGATCAATAAGCTGCTCTCAATCTCCGGGTCTGTGAGTAACATAATCTGCAGTAAAGCAACAGAAAGCGAGGCTTACAAATTTACAATGCATGGGACCAAACTACCACGTGGACACAAGAAGCACACAAGAGCAGGCAGAGTGCTCAGGCAGACAAGGACCTGAGCTCTGCAGAGCTGAATCTCCTACTTCAGACAACGCCATAAAACCACTTGTATTATGTGAAGAACACAGAGGAACTGGTCAGAAAAAGGAGATAAAATCAGAAGATCATACTCCCTTCCCATGTATAAGACCGTTTAAAAGAAACCGTTTCCTCTTTTTTCAGTTATTTTTCTTTTCTTTTCTAATAAAAAATTGTATTTATTTATTTATTTATTTATTTATTTATTTATTTATTTACTTACTTACTTACTTACTTACATGCACTCATGCATGTGCTACAGCACACAGGTGGAGGTTGGAGGACAACTTGTGGGTTTTGGTTCTGTTGTTCCACCATGTGGGTCTTAGCGTTGCATTCAGATTATCAGGCTTGGCATTAAGCACCTTTTCCTGCTGAGCCATCTCCTCAGCTATAAAGTGATGTTCTTAACCTCAGACTTTCCTCCTTTCCCCTTAATCCTAGCCCTCCCTCATGACGTAACTCGCTCACACTCCATCTAAGGAAAACAAAAGTACCAGTCCGGTTGTTTTCTGTGTAGGAAAAGACAACATATGAACATGGGCCCAATTCTTTTCTTTCTTGCCTTCTACTCCTATTTCACATCAACAGTACCCTGTCATTCTACCTTTAGCTTGATTATATAAGTCTTGACTCAAAGTCTGGGCCCTTGAAAATTTTCTGAACAGTATTAATGCATAGATTATTTAACTCCACTCTCATTTTCACTTTCTAGTCTACTGTATCATTTACTTTGCTTCTTTCTATGTACATTTTACTATAATGTAAGCTGTACAAAAGTCAGTGCACATCTTTTGCTCACGGGGGTACGCCTAGCAGCTAGAATAAGTTCAGCATGTATTATACACTCAACAAGTATCTGCCAAATGAATGGATGAATGGAAGCAAAGGAGGGCGTGAGGAAGGGAATAAGGGAAGGGAAGGAGGAAGGAAGGAGGGAGAAAAGAAGAAAGGAAGGAAGGAAGGAAGGTTTTAAAAGCAGTCATATAGAGTTAGAAATACGTTCTGAACAGTTTGCTAAGATATGAATGTAAGCTCCATAGAAAGCATAGCTGGATTGTACTTCTCCATCTTTCACCCATGGGCTATAAATCGTGTAAACTCATAGCTTCAGGTGCTTGTTTTGCACTCTCGTTCAGATGCCTACCCTTGGCCAGAGTGTTCTGAATAACCGCAATGGATGCAAGATGAATGAACTGCCTTGAGAACTGCTTGTTTTCTCTCATTTTCTGCCTCCAGGAATATGTGATGAAGTACCTCATTCCTAACTCTCTATAGGTCTCCTTGGCTCCATCACAGTGTGCACCTAACATTTCAGACAGCCTGCCTTAATGCTACCCATTGACTTCTTCCCTGTCAATTTATTAATTGGAACTCTCTGAGTCTGGTTCAGTATGAAAGATGTGCTCAATGTATGGGTATGTGATGAAAGATCACTGCAGCCTAGATTTAGCAATAGGGGAGGGAGGAAGGGAGGGTGGAAGGAGGGAAAGAAAAAAGAAGATGGGAAAGGATGGGTGAAGGAAGAGAGACAAAGAAAGAGGGAGATATATTGAATTATGATATAAAGGGGCAGAATACTAGGTAAATGCAAACTCCCTATCAATTTGAAGGCACTCATTTTGAAACTTTATAAAAGTTCATGTCACCTTTGCAAGTGATATAAAGCCACCACACAAGCATAAGGAGTGCATAACAGACACCCTGCTGGATTCTGTTTCCATTATTCAGGATGAACAAGGTTCTTTGTCATTCTTCTTCTTGGAGAAGACAAAGGTTTGAGAGGAATGCTGTGGTTGTCAGCTGCACTCCAGACAAGAGAGAAGGGTGGGAAATATATGTAAAACTGGAGCCTGATGTCTCTCACATAGCATGAAACACTGCCACTGTCCATAAATGTAGTTGGAGATTTTCCTGTGTCCCGGCCAGCTGGTGGTCAGGACAAATCTCTCCCACTTGTGTTCCACAAGTAAACACACAGAGGCTTATATTCATTATAACTGCTTAGCCATTAGCTCAGACTTATTACTGACTAGCTCTTATTCTTAAATTAACCCATAATTCTTATTTATGTTTAGTCACATGGCTTGGTACCTTTTCTCAGTTTTGCCTTCACATCTTGCCTTCTCTGTGTCTGGCTGGCATTTCCTGACTCAGCCTTCCTCTTTCCAGAATTCTCCTTGTCTGCTTATCCTGCCTATACTTCCTGCCTGGCTATTGGCCAATCAACATTTTATTTATCAACCATTCAGAGCAACACATATTCACAGCATACAGAACAACATCCCACAGCACATAAATTCTGACAGAAGTTACGAGTTTGCCCACCTCATGTTCACCAAACAAACAGCTTCCTCTGTTTGATGACTGACGTGGGGCCATCAGGTAATTTGCTAAGTACAAACTTACATGGCTTCATTAAAATCTAGTGCATGTTATAAACAAGGACATCTAGATGGCTCCTAAATGCATAGAAATATTTCCAGGTGATTTCATATTTATTGGGACATAAAAAAGGCTGTCATATTTCAAAACACAACTATGTCATCCAATGGTTACACTGCTTTGTGTTCCTAACCACAATTAACAATAAAATGTAACAACCACTTGTCCTACTGCCAAAATGTTATTTTCCTAATATGAGGAGGCCCTGCTTTACAGTCATCGTTGTTTCAAGCCAGGTGATGCTCCCCCCATTTTCTTGTTTCCTAGCTCCAGGTTAACTAGAATATGCTCTGTCTTCTCATTTCACAACTTGCTTCCCCTAACATGGGAATTAAAAAAAAACTTAAATTAAGACTACAAAATATCCACAAATAAAAGTGAATTTTATTTACTGTTTACCAAAACTAGTTTAATATGTATGTGTATTTCTAAATTCACCAGGCTATATGAAATTATGTTGTATCCCCTTATAACATTAGAAAGAGGTTGAAATATTTCAAATATTTTTTTCAGAGCTGAGGATCGAACCCAGGGCCTTACACTTGCTAGGCAAGCGCTGTACCATTGAGCTAAATCCCCAACCCCTCAAATAATTTTTATACATGGATATTTGTTATCATGTAAATAAAACTATTAGGGATTGGGGCTTTTGTTTTTGACCCTGCAAAACCAAAAGTAAGCGGAACAAAACCCCATCTTCTCTATTTAGTATTTATCTGAAACCTTATACTTGAGAATTTGCATACTGGAACTGTCGGAAGGGTAGGTGATCACCCTGTAAAGCTACCAAGTCTGGACCACACAGGCCAGTTTCTGCCCAAATCTCCCCAAAACAAACAGGTTAGTATGGATCTATCTTTGATTACCCACTTTTGTTTTAATCAACCTAACAATTTAATAAGATCTTAATATGTATTTCTTCCTTTGATTTCTTGATCCAAAGCTACATAGTATATCATGAAGTCTGATTTATATTCATGTTTTTATTTAAAATTATAACTCATGTAATTTTGTAAAGGGTTGCAAACATACAAGTTAGTGCACAATTTTGACACACAAAGACATGTACAACATATTTTAATTCTTTAATCATAACCTTCAAATAATTAGGCTATACTTAGTGTAGTGATTGGAATATAGTGCAGCCTTAATGAGTTGCTAGACGATTAAGGAAACCTTGTTATTTGGGCCTTAAATTCTTCCATGGTTTTGCCTAAATGAACTGAGGTTTATCTTCCTATTTTTTCAATTACAAACACTAAATAAAATAATATGTAATTAAGTAATCAAGGTCTATAGAGAAAAGGTTTAACATATATGGAAAAATACATAATTAATATAATTCAGTCTTCAGACATAGGTAGTATTGTTTGTCCGAAATAAGTTCTGTCTTCTCAAGAAAGTGTTCCAAAAGTTATTATTTTCAAAATGGTTACATTCAAACTAATGAATAATTTTCCAAAATACCAGATTGCATTTCTCATTTTTACTTATCTATTCATTTATCTGTTGTCTGTTTAATTATGTATCTATCTAGATTTATTTATTTATGTGGGGTGTGTGTGAGTTTGTGTGTGTGTGTGTGTGTGTGTGTGTGTGTGTGTGTGTGTGTGTGCACACGCGCATGTGTAGAGACCACAGGACAATGATAAGTGTATCTATTGTTCTCTACTGTATTTTTTGAGGCACTGTCTTACATTGAACCTGGAGTTGACCAATTAGGTCAGGCTGGCTGGGCTGCAAGCCCCTGAGATACTCAAGTCTTCACTTTCCTATGCTGTGACTGCAGGTACACATTGCTGCATCCAGCTTTTAAGGTGAGTGCCAGGGATCTGAACTCAGATCTGTATGCCCATGCAGCAAGCAATTTATCCACTGAGCTATCTTTCCCTTAGGCTGCATTTCTTTAAATTGTCCATTGATTCTTGTTTTCAACTAGATCAAGATGGCTCTCTACCCTTTTCTGACTCCTCATGTGTTTTCAAATGAGTAGTACGTTTATTTTCATCCTGACTAATGAAATAAATAGGCTCTCAGGAGAACTTTTCAAAAGTCATGAATCTTATTATTTCTCACGCTCAACAGTAGCTCTCTGGGGAATGGACTCTACCTGAGACAAAAGCTTATTCCATAGTAGGTCTATATACCTTTATGAACAAACTGATCTACAAATGAATGAATGAATCATTTAGCATGGGCCTTACACTGAACATAACTCAGGGATCCCTACAGCCTTGAGAGTTCAGCCCTCTCATAGTCTCTGCTGTTCTGCTTGGACAGGAGAGGGGTAGACAAGAGGAAGTGATTGCTCTGAACAGAAGTAATTACTCTCTGTTCAGATGGACTCGGGGTGATTAGCACCCATTTACCTATGCCTTGCAGGGTGTGCAGACATGGCACTGACTGCATCTGTGGATG